CACAATAGCCAAAAGGTAGAAACAACCCAAAAGTCCATCAACTAATAAAACTAATAAATAAACAAAATATGGTATATGCATATAATGGAATGTTATTCAGGCACAAAAAGGAAGGAAGCTCTGATACACGCTACAACACGGATGAGCCTTGAAAACATGATGCTAAGTGAAAGAAGCCAGTCACAAAAGGCCACATATTGCATGACTTCTTTTATATGAGGTGTCCAGAATAGGCAACTCTATAGAGACAGAAAGGAGATTAGTGGTTGCCAGGGGCTGGGGAGAGGGAGAATGAGGAGTGTTTAATGGAGACTCACTTTCATTTGGGGAAGATGAAAACATCCTGGAGACAGACGGTGCTGATGGTTGCACCACGTTGTGAAATACTTAATTCCACTGAACTGTCCACTTTTAAATGGTTAAAATGGTAACTTTTACAACATGTGGTATTTTACCACTGTACACACACACACACGCACACAGATTTTGACCGACCACCTCTCTCCTCCTCCCCAGCTGACACTCTGGTCCGGCCACGATCATCCCTCACCTGATCCATGGGTGGCTGCCTCCTTGTGCTGTCAGTTTCCACCATCCCCTTCTACGATCCATTCTCCACACCCCAGCCAGAGGTTCTGAATGTCAGACTCAGCTCACGTCCCTCCTCAGCTCAGTAGACTCCCATAGCTCCTATCTCATTCAAAGTAAAAGCTGCCGTGACCCACAAGCCCTGAACAATCTGCCAGCCGTTCTCTCTCACCTCACCTCCTCCCAGTCTTCCCTCCCTCACTCTTGCTCCAGCCACACTGACCTCTTTGCTGTTCCCTGAACAAGCCAAGCACCTCCAGTCTCAGGGCCTGTGGACTTACTGCCCCCTCTGCCTGGAGCACTCTTCTCGACATCCGCCTGCCCCATCCTCACCTGCAGCAGGCTTCTACCCAGTAACTACTTCCTCCATCATTCCCCATCACCATTACCCTACTTTATTTTTCTCTTTTGTGTTTATTACTACCTCACATAACATATATGTAATTTATTGATCATATTTCTTGCTCATTTCCTCGCTAATATGTCGGTTCCATTGAAAGCAGGAATTTTTACCTGTTTTGTTCACTGCTTTGTCCCCAGTGTTTAAAAGAAGCCCTGGCACACAACAGATGCTCAAAAAATATTTGTTTAATGAAAGATTAAGAGAGAGGGGCCAAAAGAGATACTGAGAGAAACAGTAATACAGGCAAAGAAAGGAAAGGAGACAGGAGAGAGACGGGGAGGCTGAGACAAGGGGAGAAATTGGAAAGGAGAGACAGGAAAAGGAGAGCAAGGTGTGGGCGAGATCAGTGAGAAAAGTGGGGAGGAGAGAAAAAAACAGAGCTGGGAGCAGAGAGCAACAGAGATGAAACAGTGAGTCAGAGATACAGAATGGAAGAGACAATATAGAGAGACATCAGGGAGTGACACAGAGACAAGGAGAAGAAAGATTAGGGAAGATGTGGCTGGGAGAAGAGAGCTGGAAACTAGAAAGAGGGGGGCCAGAGAGAACAGAGTAGGGAGGTCCCTCCCTCTAACCCATCATTTGTTGGTTCCAGGGCTTTGAGCTGACCTGATATTCCTAGGGACCCAACACAGGATTTTTAAGCCCTAGGGATGGAGGTGGTGGAGAAAAAGAACATGATACTGTTCTCAGGGCTCTAGATCACTAGTCTACTTAACCCTCAGAGCAACTCTGTGACTATTACCATCTTTGTTTCACCGGACCAGAGGTTAAGTAACCCGCCCAAAGTCAACAGGTAATGAGAGGAACAGCTGGGACTTGAATCTGAGCAGCCTGGCTCCACTCAGTACCCCTAACCACTACCTCTGCTGACTATAAAGGGGTGCTGGCTTCCTGAATTCCCCTTCTGTCTACACTCGCCCTCTGCGGAGTGGTGGTGGAATAGAGAGGAGGTAAGCAGAGTGGCTGACATTTCAGTCCACACCCACAGTTATCCCAGTCTGAGAGAAAAGAGGGGCTCGACTTCACTTTCCTGGCAGTCTCCATGCCAAGGAGGGAGGATGAACAGGAAAACCACTTCCTGCAGGCCAGACCCCAGGCCCTGTCCAAAGCCTGGCCTCAGTCTTCTGGGAGGGAAAATGGACTCAACTACCTCTGACTTCTGTTTCGCAGCCTTGCTTTACTAGCAGCATTTCCGACCAGAGAGGTTTACTAACCTTCGCTTTGATAACTTACTCTGTGATTTCCAGAGAAGTGACACAACCACCCCTGTTCACCCTCATCTCTCTGACCCCAGGAAGAAGGCAGGCTTCATCATTCCCTCCCAGCAGCATCCTGAGCTCTCACGATGATTTAGCTTCTGTCCCCAATATTATTAATAATTATGCTAATGGTAATTCCCATAACCCCAAGTCTTGCCCAAAATCATACCATTCCTCCTCTCACACGAGGGTAGACCCTCTGCTTCTCTCCAGAAAAGCACTTGTCCTTTGCCCCAAGCACACAAAAAACTGGGAAGTCCTTCACACTGTCCGACCTCCAACGGCCCAGTTTCTGATAAGCCTCTTTTCTCCACCCCAACCCAAAATTTACATGAGGGCGATGGAAGGACAGAAGGGCCCCCTAGGGAGGGGAGAAAGCTTCACAACCCACCCGGGGAAGGAGAGACAAAGGCCAGACCCCAGGAAGGACTTCCCCTCACCACCTTGTTTGAGGAGGCACCTCTGCAGACAACACGAGAGACACAGCACGAGGCAGCTGGGGCTGGAGTTTATTGCAGATGGAGAGGTGGACACGGAGATTCAGGGAGAAGAGACGGGTGGGCTGTGGGCTCTACACTCAGGATCCTACTTGGAGAGTGTCAGGAGGCAGAGGTCAGCGTGGGGCCTGCCGGCGGAGGGGCTCCAAGAGGCCAGGCCCCGAAACAGCAACCCCTTGCCCCCCATTCTTCAGGATGACGGCTCCAGAGACGCTAGGTGATGTCACTAAGAGGGCGCCCAGGCCCAGCCGAGGACGGCGCATTCACTCGGGGAAGCACCGGCTCTCGAGAGCTGACGGTCCGGTCTGGGGTGGAAGGGAGTGTTACCCGGGCCCTCGTCCCCCCGCGGCCTCCGGCCTCCCTCCTGGCGTCTGGCGGCTCGGGCGGCGGCTAGGGTCGCTGTGGCGGCGGCGGCGGCGGCTTCGCGGCAGCTCGGGCTGGGGTCGCGGCTCGCTGGGGGCTCCCAGGAAG